ATTATAATATTCCAGTGAGCCAAATTTCCTTACAAAATATAAAAACACTTCTAGACAAATAGGCTTGCGATTATTTGGTATGATATTAAGTTCCCAAACTATGCTCTTCCTCATCTGAGTTTATTCCTTCCCGCAATTCTTCCACCCATAGTTGACATTGATGAAAAAAAAGCTTTCTTAAGAGAATTTAGTGATTCCTCTAAAATTTAGAGTGACATCCCCCAATAACACATAATAATTATCCAGACGTCCAAGCTAATTCCTCACACTTATCCTAAGCATGTTAGTATTGGGAGTTTCACTGCTTGTAGTTTCCTTTGGGGTCAAGATTATTCCAGTATGATTGTTAATATTTCCACCCTTGATCATAAAAATAATTGTTTTCCTACTTTCCACCAGTTTTCCTTTTTCAAATCAAAAATAAAACAACCCTTTGATCCACTAGAATAGCCATGAAAAAATTCCTGGTGTGCACTTTGTATTAACTGAGAATTTCCTGTCAAAATAGAAGATTTCCTTCCACTCTACAAGACATATAGTGACTGTGCTAGATGAATAATGATATCAACAAACGACAGTGTCCAATACATCTTTAAAAAATACAAGGGAGTATAAAAGACATTCAATAATTCCATGATATTTACATGTTCAATTGATATATTACTGAAGTGTACTTCCCCCACCAATTGGTTGTTAAAACTTTGGTAATCTTTAATCAACCGATTTTCCACTTCAGTACAACATGTGACAAGCACAATAAAACATTCCGACTTGTATTTTGAAATAGCATAAACATAACCATATCATGTGCAATCATCAATGATAAGATAAAAATAAATAACATGACCTCTAGTGGGAGTGTCCAAAAAATAATACCATAAGTACCACAAGAAAAAAGTGTGAAACCTTTTTATTTCCTTCCACCTTAAAAAAAGAAGGTGTGCAAGTAAAAATACTCATTATATATGCTTCCCAAGTACCACAATCCTCCCACTAAAGTTCAGAATTCCAGAATCAGTAAGCCACTCAATTCTTACTCAATTCTGTTCCATGATATCTGACCAAGTCGTCCATGACAAAATGATAAATTCCAAGCATGTGTTCCCATTAACAACATTCCTCTCCGTGAGTTATCTTCCCCAAATGACAATCTGGGTTGCTAACTTTCAATGGACCATCAAGAAAGAATAAACCATTGTGTGAAATTCGGTAATGCACTAATTTTATCATTGAGCAATATTTCCACTCTTCCCTTTCCAAATAGTATTTCATAAACAATGAGTTTCAAGATAGAACCATATCAAATCCCTTCTTACTAAAGTTGCACAGAATGTCCTATAACAAAAATATTTTTCCTCCACAAGGGAGTTTCATGGCAAATTTTCCAATTCCAAATTGTATAAGATTTAGCAGCAATGACGAAACACATAAATATGGATAATTTCCTTTGGCTATCAGCATGTCAATAAAATTGCTATTGTATTCCAGCAATAAGACATAGCCTAAATCCATTTATACTTGAAAAAATAGCGCCAAATAAATAAATATAGTGCAAATATTATCATTAGGCATACCAGCAAATGAAGAGCAAATTTCCTTGTCCTCGGAGTAACTCACATCTTCCTCCATAAACAAGTGATGCAAAAATAATATGTACTTCTCTGAAATCCCTTTCCAGGTTATGCGTAACTTTCCGCAGAATAATTCAACCATTTGCTGATCAACTTCTTCCAAGGAGTAGACATATTTTCCTTGTTATGACATACATGCAGTTGATTAGCAAACCATTAATGAGTGATGTAATAAAATATAATAATCAACAGATAGGATTCGTAATTTGCTTCTTTTTCCCCGTAGCACCCGTGCACAAGTGCATGCGCGGCTCTTCCGGCCGGCCTCTCGACCGTGCAGTTGGCTACATGTTAGACACAATAAATAACAATAGAAATTCCCTCTCTTTTCTTCAAATAATGGCTTGAAATTTCAGTAATTTTTAAATGAAAAATTGCTGTTCTTGATGACATAGATAGTAGCGGCAGCAAGCGTTGGCATGACCTGCAGTTTCCGAGCAGTTGCTCGCTCAACTTGGGAAGTCCTTGAGTGGAGATTTCCTGTTCCTTGGTCAGCAAGCTGCCAAGTTCAGGTCAATTAGAGATGAGTTTGATCCTGTATAGCTGTCGACGCATCCGTGCCTATTCGTGCAGCAAGTAGGAGAGGCCCCAAACTTCTGAACGTCCCGACGGAGCGATGCGAGGACCATGTGAGTCGCGACTGTTACATGATGCCAGAGTAAATCTTTAACTTCCAGATCCGATTAAAATAAAAGAAGAATCTGTTAACAATTTCCGGCAGCAAATCTTTGCCGTGTTTCCGATCACACACACACGCATTGGATCACCTTCCAGCACTCCTTCCTCACGTGCCCAGAATTACCTCATGTGGCTTCACGAAATATCAACGCCAGTAGTACTCCTTGATCTCCGTGCAGCAAGTTTAACCTTCCATGCCCCACGTGATGTCACGATTAGCTTCCTAGATTTCTGTCACGGCTGTGCTTCCGGTTGATCAACGCGCAAAACTTCCAGCAACCTGCAGTGCGGCGCGCTTGCCGCTTGATTTCTCGGTCCACATAAATTATTCAGCAGAACGATCCAGCAATTTGTACTAGTCTGACTCGATCCATGTGCCCCTTTTGCTTGGACATATAAAAAGTACTGTACGTACCATGAGGTACACGTAGCTATAGGAAAATTGCTGAATCAAAGAGCAGATCTGAAACCAGGCAGACTGCACGCGTGGGATGCGATTGTATAAGAGAACCGATCAACATACGAAGGAGAGTACGCAGCGGAATCAGATGCGACCGACGGCAATCACGACGACCGCGGATAGTTTGCACGGGACTAGGGTTAGAGCGATCGAACCTTGCGCTGATGCCAATGTTAGATTTTTTTTGGTCTACCCCCTAATTCCTCTGCGCTTATCCGTGGTGCCGCTCACAATTCACGTATCTGAGGCTAGGGGGTAGGGACCTCCTTATATTGTCTTTCCAAAGAGTCCGCCTCTTATACAGATATAAGATTCCTAGTCTTTTCCACTAGTTTCCGGGATAGAGTCCAGATCAAATTACCAACCACGATCATATTTGTCTGTTAACGGATTCTACCCATTTTGTCCCCGGAGCACGCGCTTGTGAGCAACGCGCCATAATAGAGTGTAAATTCCTCTAATTATGTAGATCAACATTAGGGCTGTAATCTAACTATACGATCTAGCTCCTTCCAATTATCAGTGTACCCGGGTAGTCTTTCCAATATAAATAGTATATTGTATTCCACTGATAATTGACCAGCTTCCTTAAGCATACAACTTAAGTATGTTCCAACAAGTGATAATTCCATGCTAAACATGTAAAGCAATTCCATGTACAAATACATGTATAATTCCATAATGAGGTATTCTGAATATTTAATAATTCCAGGTAATTTGAATATAGTTGCAGGACACATAATTCCAACACTCCAAGGATAAGCAGACCTTCAGTTGATATGGCTTTCAATCCAAAAACTTGTATCCAATGAAAATAATTGTGTCCTTATCTATGAAAATAAATGGTCAGAGAAAAGGAATGTGCCATCACTTAATGATATATTTCCTTGGTCTCTAACGAACTACCAGTGTGCCATTGGTCAGTTGCACTCGTGGTTCAGAGAGTACTACTACCAATCAGTGCTTCATATACACATACGCATAGGAGTATATTCCTTCTCACACAATGATCACAAAGTCAAGAAATTAACGAAGGAACATTCAAAGATAGAATGTTCAAGATCGCCGCAAGATGTTTCAAAGTGTGTAATGTTCCCTCTCTTTTTTCGTTGACCGTTCGAACCCTAAGTGGCCAAGCCCATAACTGAAATTCCTCTGTCAGCCAAGGAAAAATCAAGGGAAGGAAGGGAGGTCCTTGTCTGGGTCATGTCCTTCTCTCCCCTGAGAAATGTGCCCTGTCTTAGCTATTATCTCACGGCATGGAAATGGTCAGAGAAAATGGATACAGGCAGTATCACTGGGCCATAGGTTTCCCTCTGGTCTGTAACTTACTACTTCCGTCCTGGTTTATAGGTCCCCTTTATAGTTTGTACCAAATTTTGACTAAAGATTTAACTAACAAAATGTTAATGCATGTCAAGAAAAATTATTTCATTGGATTCGTATTTGAACATAGTTTTAAAAAATATAATGTTTGGTGACATGCGTGAACATTTTGTTAGTTTAATCTATAATCAAAATTTGATACGAAATACAATGGGAACCAATAAATCCGGACGGAGGTAGTTTCCAGCTAGTACTACTAAGTTACTATGGACCAGCCTCTGTTGCACTGCACTTGTGAGATTCAGGTACTATCTGCAACTTGCAGATAGACCGCGGTAGCAGTTGTGCTTGTGACTAGACCCCCTACCTAATCTATAACTGACCTTTATGTTGCTACCAATAATCAGGGCCTCATATTCCTATCTACACAATGGACACAGACACAAGAAATTAGCAATGGAATGTTCCAAGTCTCGGTCAACCTCGGCATGTCAGTGTCGAGTTGACACTGACAGGGAGAAAATTTCAAGTGCAGGGCAGAGAGTCAGTGTCATGGAAATCAATCTATCCATCCATCCATCACAGAGAAGAAGGAACAAAATGCTTATGCGGCTCCCACAATAATCTGATGTTCTGAAATCTGAACCCACAGCAATAGAAATTAAGATGAAGATTGAGATGATGATGCATCCTTCCTCTTCAGTCTTCACCACACATGCAAATTAAGTGTGTCTTCTTTTCCCTGACGAATCAAACTTTCTACTTCTCCTAATCACCAAAGTTTATCACACCGCTACTACTAATTAACCTTGACCAGAAAGAAACTAGTGCAAACCATGCATGACAAAGAAGAAGAATCCAACAAGATGAAGATGATGGATTGGGAGATAATTACTAGTACTGTATTAAGCATCCCTGGGATCCAGCTCGGGCAGCTTGGCCAGCCTCACCATGCTCTGCTCCATCACGCCGTTGTACCGCTTGCAGGACAGCACGCCCAGCCCACGCCCGAGCACGCCCCACCGCCTCTGACCCTTGGGCTCCCGCGCGGCGCCGCCGGTCTTCTTCTTCCCGTCGTCGGCGACGCTCTTGGTGCACGCCAGGTAAGCCGCCAGGAACGGGTCGTCCTCCGGCCGGACGGCCCTCGAGTAGTCCCTAGCAGCCGGCCTGCCCGGCGGCGGCGGCACCGAGAGCCGCCTCGCCAGCGCCGGCACCTTCCTGTGGCCCTCCCGCATGCCACCACCACCACGTGCTTCAAGCGTCGAGACCGGCTTCTTCACGGCCGGCTCGAGCTCCCACGACAGGACCACCGGCGCCTTCCTCGGGCTCTCCGGCATGCCCTCCACACGCTCCCACTCGAAGGCCACGGTCAGGGCTTCCTCTTCCTGCCCCATGTATGTACGTACACAAGGGCAAAGAGCCACCGGCAGATAGCTAGCTAACTAATCACCACCGGCCGGCCTGTCGTGCTGGTACGGACCAACGGTTTCTTGCCGCGCTTCTTGGCGTGAGCAAGACGAAGAAGGGAAAGAGGACGAAGGTGGTTGGTTTTTGAGGAAGTGGTGGGGCGATCGAGGGAGTGGAGAGGAGAGGGCTTATGGATCATGAATGCATCATGCGTACATGCATGCCAAACGTGTGCATGGCCCAACTAAATGGATATTACTTAGTGGCAGTGGAGGGACGGCTCTAGGGATCGGGTTGTATATATGCATACGAATGGCGGGAGACCAAGGGTTGTTTGTACTAGTACTAGTACTAGTAGTACTTTGCAACCGTATTCTATTCTTGTACGCGCGTGTTAATGATGTAGTATTAAATTTGTTATTGTGGTAATCTCTTGCTAAGAAGGTGCATCGTTTTCTTTCTCCCTCTCGAAGAAAGAAAGGCGATCTTGCCGGTGCCCGCCGCAAGGAGAGTTCCTCCAGCGCCGTACTCCGGGGGCTCCCCTCTGCCGACGATCTCGGTCGTCAGTGGTGAGGACGCGCGTGGATCGCTTTAGGCCCTAGTAGTTTTAGTTTTTACATTGTTCATTGTCTTGGCTTCAGCAGCGGTGATGGCGGCGTTGAATAAAGATTCTTCAGATCCTTCTCCGACGAGCCATACGGTCCTATATATGGTTGGGGGTGGGTCTGAAAATCAGACCGTTCAAGTAAGGATGATGTGGCAGCGGCATCCTCGTGGTGGACTTGTGTCCTCGGGCTCTGCCGTTGTGACAATGTTTGCTCCAGCATTGGCCAGGAGCTTAGAAGGTAGTCCAAGAGAGGATTCTGATTGCGGTATGCATCAATGGCATCTGAAAGATGGTGGATCGTGTGCCGGGTTCATGGTTTGTGGATATCAGGTATGGTTTCTTCCTCTAATGTCTTAGTCATGGTCATGTAGGGGTGCCAGATATGGAGTTCGATGGCTTGTCCGTGGTGTTGGCCTACTCTACTTTCGTTCAATGGTAATGATTTCGTCTTTGGTGAGTCATCTTGGAGGTCCGTAGAGCTGCATATAAGCAATGGAGCCACGTCGAGCTCGGGTGGGAAGGTGATTCATTTTTTCTTTTTCTTTGATGGCTCCTGTAGTGGTGCCAGAGGCAAGTGATGGGTGTTAGTGTCAAGCTCAGAGGATTCTTCGGTCTTGATTGTATTTTTTTTCTTCCTGGCTGGTGTTTCTTTCTACAAAGGCTAGCGTTCTGCTATCTTTTCAGTTTTGTCAGGTCGATGTGTACATAGCTTATACTATAATCTTTATGATGAATAAATGAGATGCATATTATCATGCTTTTTTTATTATGGTCTTGAAAGTCCATGGGAAAAAAATAAGAAAATAAGAGATGGTAAGAAAACAGTAGCTATAGAGGGTGTGGTTGAAGTTAACCGCAGGGAATTGCATGTTGGTATGGTAGATGGACTTCAACGCTGATGGCTTGACCATGCATGCGTATGCATTTACCCAGTCCCTACCTTGTCTTTTAGCAGTTTTTTCCCAACCAAAAACATATGAAAGTAATGGTGTTGTGTAAGTGTACAACATTGCGTTTCTACAACTGCAAGAGATTGGCTGCTTGGATTGGTGGCTATATTTTTATCTGAAGCCTTTGGTGGCTATATATTGGAAAAGGATGTGTAGGGTCAGATGCTTATTTGGCTGCGTAATTCCAATCTTACATCAAGACCAGGAAGACATCATTGCGATTGGAACTCCTCCAGTAATTAAGTACAGAAACCGTGCTAAGTTACAACGCAAGAGTCAAAGCGCATTCCATTATGACTTAAACATATGCATAATTAGGTATTTGTTTTATGGTTTTGATTAGTAGTGGAGCACATTCATGGATTTGGTTACCGGGCGAAAAATCAGGTCACCGCCCGGGAACCCCACGAGAAATTGCCTTACGAGCAAAAAAAAGAGAGTTTTAAATTTTAATGATTTTGTACTGAATGCAATTGAGCTCCCCTAGTAACTGATTAGTTAGTACTAGTAACTGTACTAAGTTACAACGTAGGTGTCAAAGCATGGGCCATTACTTGACCATATGCATGTCCAAGTTCTTAGTATATGTTTTATACATGTATAAAGAACAATAGAGCGAACCAGTACTAACTTGATTTGGGAAGAAAATTAACCAACTATTTGTTACTTTCATGATTAACTCCGGGTTTTTCAAATTTCTTCCACACATTTTATAAACCATTTACCAACAAGTTGGCGAATTCACGTGAAAGAAAAGTTGGTGATTTTGTCTTGCTACATGGTGTTCTTTTTTTCTTTTCGATGGAAACTGCTGCGTCGGTGTGGTTTTGCTACATGTTGGTCAACGAATTAAGCCGCCCATTATATACAATCTTTTATTTCTGCTTTTTCAGCTGTTTAAATAATCAATTACTAGTTTACTAGTACTACTAATTGGAAGCAACGAAGAAAACACGCACATATGTTCAGTCGCCAAAAGGAAGAGCAGGTATTGGAAAAGCATTCATACGGTTTGCAGCTATCAAGGTGGTTGGTAAATCCTTGTCATGTACTCCACGCGAAAAAAGAATGAAGAATTCCTTGTCATGTACTTGGAGAAGGCCATGCAAAACGCCAAAATGGCAACGTTGACTGCTAATGGCATGCTTCTAAACGGATGAGCTAGGAAATCCACAAAATACTAGCAAATGATTAGCTAGAAAATTGACATTCTTAATGATTTTAAACAGACTATTCAGATTACTTGAGAGATTAAGCTTGCAAAACACAAATCCGAGAGGAAATAAAATTTGAGTTGGTAATTATTTGTTCATCATTTTTTGCGAGGGCCGATTATTTGATTATCAGTGTATATTAGTCTTCGTAAATTAACGCACAATGCCAACGGTGTGACTGAGATTGCCAGCGTTAAATATTATTACACGATGAATGTTCCTCATACCAGCCTACGAGCTGAGATTACAATGTTTATGGAAGGTTGATCCGGAATGTTGACTTCCCTTGTCCAGGAAAATTAAACATATATTCAAAATTGTGACTGAGAAGTACTAGCATATAAACTAAACGTTCCAGGTACCCTATCTTATAATTTGCTACATATATCTGGTTTGGTGAGGACTTGGAGACGTATACATCTTGGCACTTGGGTCACCTAATTGGCGATTAGGAACACGCAAAGGATTGCATTTTGGTTCATTACTATAAATGTCGTCGTTGATAGATGTTGTATACACGATAAACAAGTGTGCATCTTATGTGTAACTCGCAGTCGATCAAATCGAGTAGCTAATCCTCTCCTAAACCAACAAGGCTACCCAAGTAACTAATTTTAACTGGCTAATTACCATTTACCAATGTTCTTATGTATGTAGCAGCTTGCCAACCCGCCTACCGGCGGCTAAAGAAAACCCCACCTACCGGAGTTGTAATGATTAACGAAGTGTTGCTCGAGGGACTCTGAATATTTTTGTTCTTCCCAGTAAGCCTTATATTTTCTCTTTTTTGGAAACAAGAAATGATGTGAAAATTACAGTTCTAGAAACCTTTGGACAGAAAAATGTCCATTGCTGTTTCGATTTTGAGTTGAAGCTATCATATGAGTTTGAAAGCTCAAGCAATGAGGCCTTTGGGCCGAATCAGCATGGGGCCTATCAGGGAACTAATACGCTAATGTATAAGCTACAACACGAAATCATTAATTGAGAAGTACTTCTCGCATTTAAAACAAATTGTGAAATATTTGAAAATGTTTCTACAATGTGAAAAAATGTTTATGTAGTTTTGTAAAAATGTTTATTACCATAAAAAGTTCAAAGTGTATTTTTCAAGAAATTTACAATGTATTCAAGAAAGTGTTCAGAACATATATTAATATAAAATGTACATCATGTATTTGAAAAATATATAATGTGTACCAAAACAATGTTTCATGTGTACACCAGAAGCGTTTATTGCGTACAGAAACAAAAGTAGACATGTGCTGAACAAAATAGAAACCGATGAAATCGACAAAGAACAAAAGAAAAACGAACAAATTCAATAAAACAAAAAAAGCACAAAAAAAGAAAATAAAAACCAAAGAAATGCAATGCAGAAGAATGAAAGCAGTGAAGCCCAAGAATGGACGAGAAGGAAACACATGAAAAAGAGAATTTTTTTCAAAACTATGTTATTTTTTGTAGCAATTTCGGAAACTATAGCGTAGAATGAAAAAAACGCAAAACTAGTAGCCCGTCGGCCAGGAGTGGGCCGAAGTAGTACTTTTCGGCCACAACTAGGCCGAAATAGTACTTTTCGGCCATAGCTAGGCCGAAGTAGCACTTTTCGGCCACGCTTAGGCCGAAGTAGCACTTTTCGGCCACGCTTAGGCCGAAGTAGTACTTTTCGGCCACGCTTAGACCGAAATAGACTTTTTGGTCAAGTTTAGGCCGAAAAGTCAATTTTTGGTCAACCCTAGGCCGAAGTTGCATGGCTCATGCTGAATTGTATTGTGTCGCCACCCGTTTCCCGCCAACCCCTTCCCGTCATATGTTTCCGCCACCCGTTTCTCGCCAACCCCTCCCCGGCAATCCCTTTCCATCTTATTTTCCCGTCAATCCGTTCCCGCCTTATTTTCCCGCCAATCCCTTCCCGCCTTATTTGCCCGCCAATCCCTTCCCGCCAACCCTTTCCCACCATACCGCAGTTATTCTTTCCCGCCATTTTCTCCTCTGTATCTATAAAACCCCCTTCAGGCGGAGGTGGATAAGCATTGCAGTGTAGTGTAGTCGAGATGTCCCATTATCCATTCGATCGTAGTATTCACCCTAAGATGAGCAGCACTCTGCTGAGTCTAGCTACCGATTTCAGGATGGACAATAGGATAGTTCCATGGGACGAACTCACCAGTAGTGACACCATAATGAATGAGTTGGCTCACCAACTACGTAGG